GGGGGGGGGGGGGGGGGTCGTAACCAGTAGGGTTTCTACAAGCATGTCAGTAACAAGAGGAAGATCAGGGTAAGTGTGGGTCCCTTACTGAATAGAGGAGACAACCTAGTACCAGAGGATGCAGAAAAGGCTGAAGTATTCAATGCCTTTTTCACCTCAGTCTTCACAGGCAAAGTCAGCTTCCAGACTACTGCACCTTTTGGGGAGGAGGTGAGCAGCCAACAGTTGTGAAAGAACCTGGCTGAGAATCACAGCTTCCGCTACCAGGGCAATGTACCTAAACATTGGCACTGCCGTGATCAACATTTGACCTACATTATCAGTAAGGTGATGCTTAATGTTAGTTCAGCTTGGTCCCCTATTTAGAAAAACTGGACATATTTAAGAAAGGGAAAAAGGAGGATCCAGGGAACTGCAGACCAGTCAGCCTCCCTTCAGTCCCTGGAGAAATCATGGAGCAGATTCTCAAGGAATCCATTTCTAAGCACTTGGGGAAGATTAGGAACAGTCAGCATGGATTCACCAAGGGCACGTCATGCCTGACCAGCCTGATTGCCTTCTATGATAAGATGACGGACTCCGTGAATGCAGGAAGACTAATGGATGTGGTATAAATGGACTTCTGTGAGGCTTTTGATACAGCCACCCACAACATTCTCGCAGGCAAGCCAAGGAAGTATGGGCTGGCTGAATGGACTGTAAGGTGGGTAGAAAACTGGCTGGGCCATCGGGCTCAGAGGGTAGTAAATTAATGGCTCGATGTCTAGTTGGCAGTCGGCATCAAGCCAAGGGTTGGTCCTGGGGCCGGCTTTGTTCAATATCTTTATCAATGACCTGGAAGATGGCATAGCGTGCACCCTCAGCAAGTTTGCAGGTGACACCAAGTCAGGGTTGGGGGAGTAGTAGATATGCTGGAGAGCAGGGCTAGGATTCTGAGTGGCCTCAACAAATTGGAGGATTGGGCCAAAAGGAATCTCATGAGGTTCAAAGACAAGTGCAAAGTCCTGCACTTAGGACGGAAGAATCCCATGCACCGGTACAGGCTGGGGGTGACTGGCTGGGCAGCAGCTCTGCAAAGAAAGACCTGGGGGGTTACAGTGGACAATAAGATGGATATCTGTCAGCAGTGTATCCTTGTTGCCAAGAAGGCTAACAGTATCCTGGACTGCATTGGTAGGAGTGTTGCCAGTAGATCAAAGGAAGTGATTCTTCCCCTTTATTCAGCACTGGTGAGGCCAAATCTGGAATACTGTGTTCCGTTTTGCCCCCCTCCCCCTTGCGCCCACTACAGAAAGTATGTGGACCAATTGGAGACAGTCCAGTGGAGGGCAACAAAAATGGTTCAGGGGCTGGGGGACATGACTTATGAGGAAGGCTGAGGGAACTGGGCTTATTTCATCTAGAGAAGAGAAGACAGAGGGGATTTAATAGCAGCCTTCAACTACCAGCAGCAGGGTTCAAAAGACGATGGCACTGGACTATTCTCAGTGGTGGCAGATGACAGAACAAGGAGCAATGTTTTCAAGCTGCAGCATGGGAAGTTTAGGTTAGATATTAGAAAGAATCTTCTCACTAGGAGGGTAGTAAAACACTGGAGCAGGCTACCCAGAGAGGTTGGGGAATCTCTATCCTTAGAGGTCTTTAAGACCTGGGTAGACAAAGCCTTGGCTGGGATGATCCTGCTTTGAGTTGGGGGTTGGACTACATGACATGGCATCCTGAGGTCCCTTCCAAACCTAATTTTCTATGATTCCAAAGACAACAAAGACTTCTCCTCACCTACACAGCATAGCATTCATGGTTGTCATGGGCTGACCTAAACTACCCTGACATCTGCTGGGAGAAGCAATCAGCCAAATCTGACCGTTCATGTAGGCTTTTAACCTGCGTGCAGGACCTTCACCTAATGCAGGAGGTATGCAATCCCACTAGGGGAAACACCTTGCTGGACTTGGTGCTGGCTACGGGGGATGACCTGGTGGGGGAATCTGCAGGTACAAGACAACCTAGGGCATATAGTGACCATCAGTTGACTGAATTCACTATTCGGCGAAGGGTGGGAAAAGTAACCAGCAGGGCAGAAGTGCTAGACTTCAGAAAGGCTGGCTTCAGTGTGCTCAGGAGATTAGTTAGTGGGGAGTTAAAGCTCAAGAACATTGACAAAATGGGGGTCCAGGAAGGGTGGTCGTTCTTCAAGGAAGCAATCCTTCGGGCACAGGAAGCAATCCCACTGCATAGAAAAGGGGGCAAACGGGCCAAGAAACACAAAATGGGGGTCCAGGAAGGGTGGTCGTTCTTCAAGGAAGCAATCCTTCGGGCACAGGAAGCAATCCCACTGCATAGAAAAGGGGGCAAACGGGCCAAGAAACACTCCTGGCTAAATAGGGAAATCCAGGAAAGCCTAAAGGGCAAAAAAAGGGGCATACAGGCTGTGGAAGCAGAGGGTAGCTACCAAGGAGGAGTATACCTCCTTGGCTCACACTTGCAGTGAATCAGGGAGGAAGGCCAAAGCAGCATTAGAGCTCAGGCTGGCAACAAAAATTAAGGACAACAAAGTCCTTCTTCAGGTATACAGGGAGCAAAAAGAAGGCGCAGGGCAGCACAGGACCCCTACAGGATACACAAAGGCAGTTGATGACAGATAGGAGGGACAAAGCAGAGCTCTTTAATGAGTTTTTTGCCTCTGTATTCTTGAACTCCGATCTAGACAAATCTCCCAAATGCATTACTGACAGAAGCAGGAGAAACACCAGCCCACCAACTGTCAGCGCTGGCCTAGTAAAGAGAGACACTTGTAGAGGCTGGATACATTTAAATCAGCAGGACCGGATGAGCTCCATTCAAGCACGCGGAAGGAATTGGCCAGTGTCATAGCGGAGCCACTGGCACGAGTGTTTGAGCACTTGTGGTGCTCAGGTGAGGTCCCAGAGGACTGGAAAAGGGCCAGTTTGGTCCCTATTTTCAAGAAGGGGAGAAAGGAGGATCTGGGTAACTACAGACCAGTTAGTCTCACCTCTATCCTTGGGAAAACTCTTGAAAAAATTATCAAGGATCACATCTGTAGGAGTCCAGCAGGTAATATAATGCTGAAGGGCAACCAGCATCAGTTCATACCAGGTAGAGCCTGCCTGACTAACCTTGTTTCTTTCTATGACCAGGTCACTATAAGCTTAGATGCAGGAGTTGAGGTAGATGTCATCTACTTGGACTTTAAGAAGGCCTTCAACACAGTATCCCATCCAATTCTTATAAACAAACTGAACAGTTGAGCCATAGACAATTACATAGTCATGTGAGTGGCAAATTGGCTTAAGGGTCTTACCCAGAGAGTGGTGGTGGACGGGTCGGTATCGACCTGGAAAGATGTGGGCAGTGGGCTCCCCCCGGGCTCAGTCCTTGGGCCAGTGCTGTTCAAGATCTTCATCAGCGACCTGGATGAAGGCGTGGATAGCACTCTGCCCAAATTTTCAGATGACACCAAACTATGGGGCGAAGCAAACACACTGATGGGAAGAAACTGAATCCAGGCAGACCTGGACAGGTTGGAAAAAGTGGGTAGAGAACGACAGGATGAAGTTCAACAAGGACAGGTACAAGATGCTGCACCTAGGGAGAGGGAATCATCAGCACACCTATAGGCTGGGGGATGACCTTCTCAGCAGCACAGCAGCAGAAAGAGATCTCGGAGTCGTTGTTGACTCCAAGATGAATATGAGTTGTCAATGTGATGAAGTAATTAGCAGAGCTAAACGCACTTCATCATGCATTAGTAGGTGCATTACGAACAGGTCCAGGGAAGTGATACTCCCTATC